GTCCCTCCCATGGTCTTCTGCACCCCTACACCCCGAAACCTTGTCCTAGAAGCCACAGGGGTCAATTCAGACATAAGCAGTAGGGCCCCTTTGCACTGCACCTAGTCCCCAGTATCAGCCCCATCAGTTTGACTAGACGCCTGATGGCTTTAGGCCCCGGTATGGGAGTGAGACATCGGAGCCCATCTGTAGGGGGGATTGGATTCAAATTACTAGCCTACTCCAAGGCAGGGAGGAAGGCCTCTCTGTCCCCATCGTCCTCCAAGTGGGGCAGTAAGGTGGTATCTGTGGAGTAGATCTCCCCAGCTGGGGCTCCATGTGGCCTCTTGCTCCTTGGTACCTTGATTTCTAGTTCCTGCGTCCCTCTGCCGTGACTCGCGTTTTGGCCGCAACATGCTTGCGCATCTTGTTCTTGCTCAGTGTGCTAGACCTGGCTGTCTCCAGCTTCGGTGCCTCCATTTGGCGCTCCTTTGCTTTCAGCCCCAGTCTCTGTGGCTCCCTTGGGGCATTCTCCAATTCTCCCCTCTTCTCTGCTCTCAAGCTGAGTCGATCGCCTGGAACCCCTTCAGGGTCTGGACCATGGTTCTTGCCCAATTGTCCTTCTCTAGCCATGCAGCCATCTGTGCCTCGTTTAACAGTTCAGCATTTAGCCTTCCCGCTCTGTACAGCTCTACAGTCTTCCATGCCATTTGCCTTAACGTTTCCTTTCACTAACCTTGGTTGGTTGGTTTTTTCCTCTGCTGTGGTCACTGGATGCAAAATACTACTGGTGCATCCAAAATCCCACTGCTGCCACCAGCTGTCATGGATCAACATGGGTTCACTGCTCCAGCCTTCATCCAGTCCCTTAGAACAGTGGCTCTCAATCTTTCCAGACTACTGTAACCCTTTCAGGAGTCTGATTTGTCTTGCATACCCCCAAGTTTCACCTCACTTAAAAACGACTTGCTTACAAAATCGGACCTAAAAAAACCCCAAAGTGTCACAGCTCAGTATTACTGAAAAATGGCTGACTCTCTCATTTTTACCATATAATTATAAAATAAACCCATTGGAATATAAACATACTTTTCAGTGTATAGCATATAGCGCAGTATAAACAAGTCCTTGTGTTAGATTTTAGTTTGTACTGACTTCGCTAGTGCTTTTTTATGGAGCCTGTTGTAAAATTAGGCAAATACTGTATCTAAATGAGTTGATGTCCCCCCTGGAAGATGTCTGTGTACCCTTAGGAGTATACATACCCCCGGTTGAAAACCACTGTCTTAAAAGGACCACTAGGTCTTGCCTTGCCCTGAGCATAGCCTTTCCCAAAACTCTGGTACCTTGTTTCTGTCCTGATGCTCTCCTGAGAGACCAGCCGAGTTCAGACTCCTATAGACCCTTGTACCCCTCCAGGGAGCCGGGCACCCAGGCGTACGCCTGGTGAGACGAGGCAGCCTTTTCAGGACAATGGAGCATTGATTAGTCATCAGGAATCTAGCCTCGGAGAGTGCTGAGGTCTGCATGGAAAAGCCAAGCTTAAGACCGAGTCTATCGGGGCAGAAGCAGCTGCCCTGATATCCCATGCTCTCCTGGCGTCTTATCTTGTGTCTCTGTACCTAGGCCTGGTATCTCCTACGTCTCTGTCTGCACCCTTGCAACCTTGCTCTTCTCTTTCTTGGGCGGCTGGGGGTGAAGGGTTCCTGAGCAGATCCAAGGACTGGCAATTCATCTGCGTGGGTTCCCTTCAGTTCTTGACGGCACATTTGGGCCCCATTAGAGTCATAAAACGTAGCCTGGCATAGCTCTGTCAGTTGGGGGAGTGCAAAAGCCACTGCCCCCCTAGCCAACTTAGTTATGCCAACACAGCCGTCAGCGGGGAGACAGAGTGCTTCTGGTGGTTTGGCTACTGTCGGTCGGGGAGCTGGTGTTACCATACAGGTCAGCACTCCTTCTGTCGCATATGCTGCGTCTACACTAGGGAGCTATGCCGGTTTAGGTTCTGCAGGGTAGATCTGGCCTCAGGAAGAGCTGTTATACACGTGTGCCTCACTCCCTATCCCCAGAGGAGGCACGGACCCCTTCCCAGGCAGTGGGTAAACCGAGTCTCACACTGTTCCTTAAAATGTTACATTTCCACATTCTCCCCAGGGTGCTGGGTGTGGGGGTGGAGGTGCAGGAGCAGAGAGGGGTGTGGGAATTGGGTGGGGTGGGGAGGACAGGGTAGGGGTTAGGGGTTGGGTGGGGAGGAGGGGTGCTGGGTGTGGGTTGTGGGGGCGCTGGAGGCAGGAGCGCAAGTGCTGGAGAAGGGGGTGCAGTGGGAACTCGGGCATGGGGGGGAACAGCAAATGGACACAGGCCCTCCCCCAAAGGCAGCGCCTGACCCCCTTCCTGCCTCGACTGGGTTGGACCCTCCCTGACACATGTGGGGCAAGAAGGGGGTATTGTTCTTTTCCCTTACAGGTTGGCACTAGTGTCACCGAGCGGGGACAAGGTGGGGTCCCAGGTGGATGGAGGGGGGGTGCTTTGGGGGGAGGTGTAATTGGGTGTGGGGCATGTGCTGTGGGCACACCTACTTGGCCCCATCTGTGGGGCGTGTGCAAGGTCGCTGGCCTACTCAGTTGGGGTCGGGGGGCGTGTGTGTGGGAAAACTAGACATGATGTATCTTGATTTTTAGGAAGGCTTTTGACACCTTCCCACTTGACATTCTCCTAAGCAGCCTAGGGAAGTGTGGGTCTAGATGGACTGACGACCAGGTGGGTGCGCTCGAAGAGGAGTTATCAATGGTTTGCTGTCAGTTGGGAGGGTGTAACTGGTGGGGTCCCGCAGGGGTCAGTCCTGGGGCTGGTTCCCATTCAATATTTTCACGAACGACTTGGACCACGGTGTGGAGAGGATGCTTATAAAATCTGCAGATGACACCGAGCTGGGAGGGGTCGCCAACACTTTGGAGGGGAATTGAAAACGACCTGGACAAATTGGAGAATTGGTCTGAAATCAACAAGAGGAAAATCAGTGGAGAGCAGTATGAAATACTTCACTTGGGAAGGAAAAATCAAATGCCCGGGGAATAACTGGCCAGGGGATAATATTGTTGAAAAATAAACTAGGGGATCTAGCGGATATGAAACCAAATAGGAGTCAGCAATGTGACGCAGGTTTAATCTAATATCTGGGGTGTATTAACAGGAGTGCCGTATGTCCGAAACGAGAGGTAATTGCCCTGCTCTGTGCAGCACTGGGGAGGCTTCAGCTGGAGCGCGGTGTCCAGTTCTGGGTGCCGTGCTTTAGGAGAGACGTGGGCAAATTGGAGAGAGTCCAGAGGAGAGCCACAAAAAGGATCCAAGGTTTAGCAAACCTGCCCTAGGAGAGGTTAAAAGAAGAGGGTAGGTTTAGGCTGGAGCAAAGCAGACTGAGGGGGGACCTGAGAACAGTCGTCAAAGATGTTAAGGGCTGTTCGAGAGAGGACGGGGGTCAGCTGTTCTCCATGTCCGCTGAAGGCAGGACAAGACGTAATGGGCGTAATCTGCAGCGAGGGAGACTGAAGGTAGCTATTCGGAGCTCTCAGGGAAGGGAAGCTTTGGGGTAGACTTGCAAGGGAGGTTAGGGAATCCCGTCACTGGACAATCACCTGGCCGGGCTGGTCTACGGTTACTTGGTCCAGACTCAGTACAGGGGGGCTGGACTAGATGGTCTCTTGAGGTTCCTTCTGTCCCCACATTGTGATGATTCTGTCTGCCTGGGCAGAGGGCAAGCAGCTGCTAACTGGGCAGATTCATGGCAGGTGGGGGGCACTGAGTGGGGTGGCGGATGGAGAAGGGATCCCGGGTGGGCTGGGGGCTGGGATTTAAACCAGGGGAGTGAGGGGGAGCTGGTACAACAAGTTCATTATGGGGATTAAAAAGGAAAGAATGCAGGTTAGGGGACTCTCCCCTGGGAAGCAGTGACTGAAAGACTTTTTGGGGGTGGGGGAACTGAATAACTGGCTGACTATGAGCTCCCAGTGCGACCCTGGGGCCAAAAGAGTCATGACCATCCTGGGCTGTATAAACAGGGGAATCTCACATAGGAGCAGAGAGGTTCTTTCCCCTCTGTGTTTGGCTCTGGTGCGACCGCTGCTGGGATCCTGGGTCTGGTTCTTCATGAAGGAAGTTGGTAAATTGGAGGGGTCGGAGAAGAGTCAAGAGAATGATCAAAGGGTTAGAAAACCTGCCTGGTAGTGAGAGACTCACGGAGCTTGATCTGTTTAGCTTAACAAAGAGAAGGTTCAGGGGTGGCTTGATCCCCATCTATCAGCACCTACAGGGGGAACAAATATTTAATCAAGGGCTCGTCAGTCTAGTGGAAAAAGGTTAAAACGCGATCCAGTGGCTGGAAGTTGCAGCTGGAAATATTCGGATGGGGATATCAGATGCACAATTTCAACAGTGAGGGGCATTGCCCCTTGGGACAGCTCCCCACAGGCTCCATCCCTGATGATTTTAAACTTAAGACTGTGGATGTCTTACTAAACAATCTGCTCTAGCTCTGATGGGACGTTCTCTGGCCTGGGTTACACCGGGGGGTCGCGCTGGATGATCACAGAGGTCCCTCCTGTCCTTGGACCTGGCCCACACCCCTTTAAGAGTGACCCCTCCTCTGGGTAGGGAGCAAAGGGCATTACCCAGGGCAGGGCTGGGCAGGAGGAGAGAGGCATTCAATGCATTCCTGCTGCATGACAGGGCGGGGATGTCACCTGTTGAGTCAGTATTATGTGTTTCCCTCTAGTGGCTGGTCCACATAGCCAGCAGCAGTAGTAAGGCCTTTATCCTCTAACGGAGCTCCTCCTTCAGCTGAAGTGAGCAATGTCTATGCCTCGTCCCGAGGCCCTTTGACTTCAGTGGTGTCTGGCTCGGGCCCTTTGTGCTGAAGGTCCCGGTTTTTGGCCCTGCCCAAGGGGGAGGGGAAGGATTGTGCTTTTCCCAGGCTCTTCATTGACAGCCCGTTTCTCCTCTTCTCCCCCCTGACCCCCCATCAGAGGACGCCCAGAACCTGATCAGCCGCCTGGCCACGCGGCGCCGGCTGGCGGTGGGCGAGGACTGGTCCCAGGACGTGCAGCTGGGCGAGCAGAGCGAGCTGCGCTATTCCTACCATGTGCTGTGCGACGAGCACTACTATGGCGAGGGCTGCTCCGACTACTGCCGCCCCCGCGACGACGCCTTCGGGCACTACGCCTGCGACGAGCTGGGCGCCCGCATCTGCCTGCCCGGCTGGAGGGGGGAGTACTGCTCCGAGGGTGAGTGAGTGACGGCCCCCGGGATACACCCCGCCCCCGGTGGACCTCTGACTACACCATGCCCCTGATATACCATGCCCCATCCAGCGGCGCACCTCTGAATACACCCCCCCCCCCCCAGCGGACCTCTGACTATATACCTCGCCCCCCCGCGGACCTCTGAATATACCACGCCCCCGGATATACCACGCCGCCCCCCCCCCCCCAGCAGACCTCTGACTATACCACACCCCCCGCCCCCAGCGGACCTCTGAATACACTATGCCCCCCAGATATACCATGCCCCATCCAGCGGTGGAACTCTGAATACACCACGCCCGCCGGATATACCACCCCCCCACCAGCGGACCTCTGACTATACCTTGCTCCCCCTCAGACCTCTGAATATACCACGCCCCCCCCCAGCAGACCTCTGACTATACCACACCCGCCGCCCCCAGCGGACCTCTGAATACACCATGCCCCCCAGATATACCATGCCCCTTGGCAGACCTCTGACTATATACCACGCACCTGGATATACCACGCCGCCCTCCCCCGGTGGACCTCTGACTATACTGCTTCCCCCTCCCCCCATGTGGACCTCTGAATACACCCCTCCCGCACCCCCGATACCCCCCCCTCCCCTGGACCTCTACTAACTATCCCCCCGCCCCCGCAGACCTCTGAATACACCACACCCCCCAGATACACTATGCCCCCCTCAGACCTCTGAATATACCATGCCCCCCCACCGGGACCTCTGAATACACCACACGCCCAGGATATACCACTACCCCCCCCAGACCTTGGAATATATCACCCCCCGACCTCTCTAATTACATCTTGTTCAACCACCCCCGACTCCTGACTATACTATGCTCTTTCCCCCACCCCCCGACCTCTGAATATACCACACTTCCCCCGCCCCGGACCCCTCTAAATACCTCGCTAGCCCCCCAGAATGCATCTTGCTCTGCCCCAACCCCCCCAGAATACATGTTGCCCTAGGTCCCCCCCAAAATGCACCTCTCTCCCCACAAACCCTCCTGAATAAACCTCGCTCCCACTGAATACACCTTGCTCACCCAATATACCTTGACCTCCCCAACACACCTCGCTCCCCTGTCCCCCCCCAACACGCCTCTCTCCCCCACGCCTCCAAACCTTCCCCAAATACACTTCTTTCCCCCAAAGACACCTCGCTCTTTCTGTCTCCCAACACACACCTCGCTCCCCCAACACACCTCAATCCAGCCATGACCTCTTCTCCCCCCCCCCCGCCCCCATGTACCTCACTGGGACACTTTTCAGGGCTACCCGAGCTGCCCAGGTGACTTTCTACCAGAGGGGTGGGCAAACGTTTTGGCCCGAGGGCCACATCAGGGAATAGAAATTGTATGGCGGGCCATGAACACTCTCACAGAATTGGGTTTGGGGTGTGGGCTCTGGGGTGGGGCTGGGGATGAGGAATTTGGGGTGTAGGAGGGTGCTCTGGGCTGAGATCGAGGGGTTCAGAGGGCAGGAAGGAGATCAGGGCTGAGGCAGGGGTGCAGTTTCCAGCTGGGGGGTGCAGGCTCTGGGGTGGGGCTGGGGATGAGAGGTTTGGGGTGCAGGAGGGTGCTCCAGGCTGAGGCGGGGGTTGGGGCATGGGGAGAGGTCCGGGGTGCAGGCTCCAAGCGGCGCTTACCTCAAGCGGCTCCCGGAAGCAGTGGCATGTCCCTTCTCCAGCTCCTAGGCAGAGGCGTGGCCCGGCGGCTCTGCATGCTGCCCCATCTACAGGCACCACCCCCTGCAGCTCCCATTGGAGAGCGTAGGAGGTGGAGTGGGGCCATGCTGCGGCTTCCAGGAGCCGCATGGTGTGGCCCCCAACCCAGCGCCCTAGCCGGAGCACCAGAGCAGGGCCAAGCCACGTGGAGCGGCTCGTGGGCTGTAGTTTGCCCACCCCCGCTCAACCACCTGCTCACAGCATGACAGCCTATCCGCGCCCACCAGGGCGAACCCTCCCAGCTCTGCCGCCCGCTGGCAGCATGGCAAGCCGCTCTGGGCTCCGCGAGCCCCGCACTCCCCCAATGCAGGCTAGCAATTTGCACCCCCACCAACCCGCCCCTTGTTTTAGCCCAGTGCACCAACCCGCTGTCTGTGTGGAAACGGAGGGCGACCCAGGTTGCCAGCCTCCCCTCAGCTCTACAGTGTCCTGAGTGCAAAGCGCCTGGCTGTGTCCAGACTAAAACCAAACCACATATAAACTTGTTGAATGCCGCTTACGATAAAGATCCGGAATAGGTGCAAGGAACAAGACTGGCAATGCCAGGTTGGTCCCTATGGGTACGGCTACACTGCAATAACAAACCCGTGGCAGAGCCCGGTCAGCTGACTCAGACTTGCGGGGCTCGGGCTAACATTGCTGTGTAGACGCCTCGTCGTGGGATTTCAGAGCCCGGGCTCCATCCCGAGCCTAACTGTCTCCACTGCAGTTTTATAGCCCTGCAGCCCAAACCCAGCCACGGCCATGTCGCGGATCTTGCGTCGCTGTGTTGACGTCCCCGATGTGTATTCCGCATGTGGCTGACATCGGAGGCTGGCAGCAAGCGGTGTCCGTTGGCTGACGCCCGCGCCGTTGTCCTCCTTGCGCTCGGACCCCAGGGCACAAAGGGCGGCGTGGACCGGTGCCCCTCCACTTTCTCCTTGACTCCGACTCAGGCCATGTGGTGGTCTCCGTGTCCGTAGCGATCCTTGTTCTTTCAGAACCTGCAGGTATAGATCGCGTCCATCATTTCGTAGCCGTACTAGTTAACTGGTTCGTAGTCTAGTTCTCCCCGCAGAGCGGGACTATGCCCAGAGTCTTGGGATTTAAGAAACGGGTTGCCTGCCCCCGTTCCTTCTCCAGCAGCGATGAACACCAGGGCTGCCTTCATGGCCTCGGAGACACTCAGCAAGTGCAGCGTTAGCTCCCTTCTTCGGGGAGGGAAGGAGCGACAATGTTTGAAGGCCAGGAGACTGCAATCGGACCCAGGCCCACATGCAGCAGCCTCAGACTCTGGGAAACACCCCCTCTGAGTACAAGCTCCTAGTAGGGAGGCGGCCACCTGGTTTTGAACCTCTTTTTGGGGTTTGCCCCCCATCCGACACTGAGAAAAGTCAGTATTGGATGGCGGATGCCATTTTAAGGAGCACGGTGCATGGGAGCTCACGCCTGCGGGGACGGGGCAATGAGCTCCTCAAAATGGCACCCCTCACGCGGCCTGATCTTGTGTACACACTGTGTGTGTGAGGTCACACCAGCAGGAGTGGGGCTGTGGACACCTCAAAATGGCACCCCGCCGTGTGGAACCACTGCGTGCAAGGTCACACTGGTGGTGGCGGGCCCATGCCGTTCCCAGAAGTACCGGCATGCCTGGTATTCCAGGAATTTGTGAGAGGCCACCTGAGCTCCGCGATTGAGGCAGGGTCTGTGAAGCCCAAGAAACCTTCTCATGAGGGTAAGGGGCTTGGCCATCAGTGGTGTCATGGAGCCACTTGTACAAAAACAAAATGGTTTCCTCCATGTGGTCACATGGAGGAAGCCATTTTGTAAAGTACACTGGGTGTCCTCCACACAGTGCGACCTCGCTGAGAGGTCACGCTGGCAGGGCAGGGTAGCAGTACTTCAGAAACTCAGGACTGCAGTAGACACAATGGCGGATTCCCTTCCAGAACAGCCTCTAAAAGAAAAGATCCCTCCCTTACTCGGTCCATGTCGGGAGAGTCCTTGCGTGCGGGTCCTAAGTACTTAGAGCTGCCTAAATCTTCCATGCAAGAAGGGACGGTGTGACAGGGGAAGGATCCATCGGTACCAGCTCCAACTCCTGGACTGACGGACCGGCATCCCACGGCTTCATCTGGGAGTTCCACCCTGGACTTCCCTTCCACAGGACTGCCTCAGTCTAGGATGGATCCGTCCTCGGGCACACCAGATCTTTCAGCACCAACCTCCAGTACTCCCTGTACTCCAGTTTAAACTGAGACCTTTACTACTCCAGAAAGTATTTTTGCCTTTATATACCTGCGGTCTCCTCTGTTATCAGTCCAGTTCTCCTCAGAGACATCTCTACACCAGAAGAAATCACTTTGAAAACCCTACTACAGCTACAGGCCGGAGCATTCCTCCTCCGGTACCTCTGGTAAAACATGAGATGACTTTTTCATCAGAGGACTCTGACCTTCTGGACAAGACTTCAACCCCTCGGAGAGAGAGATCAGCCCAGGCAGAGCCTCTAGGAGCCATCCTCCTCTCAGACAACATTACTACCAAAGGGACCGATGGTGTCCAATGCCTTGGGAGACTCCCCTTCCCCCAGCCAGTTGACCCGTCATATTGACCTCACTGGGGCTCTTGAGATCCATGCAGGAATTGTTCTGGATCCGTGCAGGAATTGCACTTATCACCTCCCCCTATATGGTACCACAGGCTCCGTCGGGGCGTGCGGAGGAGGAAATCAAACTGGCTGCGACGGTTCTAACGGGTGTGTCGTCCTCCTCCCACAATGAGGCAAATGCGCCATCATCCCCTTTCCTGACTGATGACTACAGGCAGTACCAGGAGCTTTTACAGAGGCCCGTGACCGAGCTCCAGATCCCTCTCGAGGAGGTCCATGACGCACAGTGTAGGCTCCTGGAAGGAAGCCATTTTGGAGCCCGTGAGGCCCTCCTGCGTCCATCCCCTGAACAGGGCAGAAAAGCAGAACTTGGTTCCACTGAAAGAGGCCGAGTTCCTGTTCACCCACCCAGCGCCGAACTCCTTGGTGATACAGACAGCTAGAGAGCCGTCCGGATGGCCATTCCCCAGGCCAGCTCTATCTGACCAGGGTGATAAACGCCTTAGCCTCTTAGGGCAGAAGCTATTTTCATCAACCAGCCTCCAAGTTTGAAGCGCTAACTACCAGCCCCTGTTGGCAAAACACGATTTCACAAACTGCGCTACATTGGTGGGGTTCAAAGATAAGCCATCTTGTCAATGAGAAGATGAATGAGTCACTTCA